TGTTTCAGCTTCTTATTGTTCCTTCCTTGGCAAGCTCGAGTTGGACCCTATTACTTGTTCTGTAACAGAGGCTCTTCAGAATCCCAAGTGGGTGGTTGCTATGCAGGCAGAAATGGCCGCTTTGGAATAAAATAAGACCCAATAGCTTGTCTCTTTACCATCTGGTGAAAAAAATGTTTGTTGAAAATGGGTTTTCAATATTAAGTTATCTTACGGATGGCATTGCAGACCGCCACAAAACGCTGCTAGTTGTCAAGGGCTTTACACAGGTTCCTCGCAAAGATTTTGGGGCTACCTTCACACCTGTCGCCAAGCTTACCTCTTTCCGTCTCCTTGTTTCTTTTGTTGCTTCTCATTCTTGGCCTCTCCATTACCTTGATGTCAAGAATGCATTTCTCCATGGAGACTTACTTGAGACGATTTATATAGATCCTCCACCCGGGGGAGTATGGAGGGAAAATTTGTCGCCTATGCAAAACTTTATATGGTTTAAAACAGTCTCCTCGAGGCCTGGTCCAGCCACTTTAACTGTCATTTTATCCATACAGTTTGTTCAGTGTCACTCAGATCATACTTGCTTCATCCGCCAGAATTCCACTGGTCAGTGCATTGTTCTACTTGTGTATGTTGATGATATCATTCTCACAGGTGATGATTCAGTCAGCATAGCTCAAGTAAAGAGGGATTTGAGCTAGGCATTTGATATAAATGATTTGGATCCTCAAATATTTTCTAGGTATTGAGGTTGCTCGCTCTCGTTAAGGGATTTCCTTATCCCAAAGGAAGTACGTTCTTGATCTTCTTCAATACAATAGTATGTTAGTGTGCAAGCCCGCTCTGCCCCTATGGATCCTAATCTCAAGCTTACATCAGAGTCTAGCGAGTTATTAAAGCATCCAAGCATGTATCAGCACCTTGTTGGCCGACTCGACTAACATTAGACCTAACTTGACATTTACAGTTAGTGTTGTAAGTCAATTTATGCATGCACCTCGTACAGAGCATCTTGATGTTGTTCATCACATTTTGTAGTATTTAAAGACTTCTCCTGCTTTGGGATTATTTTTCACGGCTCTCTTATTTCACTAACACAGACTATGTAGGGTCTAGAAGTAATAGATGTTCCACTTCTGATTTCTATATTTTCTATGCTGATTATCTTATATCATGGAAAAGTAAGAAACATGCAATTGTTTCTAGATCTTCTGCTGAAACCGAGTATAGGGCTATGGCACAGGGTACATGCAAGGTTCTATGTCTTCGTATATTCTTGCAAAGTTAGGATTTGAAGAGGATGCTCCCTCCTTTGTTTTGTGACAACAAATCAACTATTACGTTATCCTCTGATTCAGTACTTCATGAGTGGACTAAACACATAGAGATTGACATAGATTTCATTTGAGAAAAGGTTCAGACTGGTATTATGAGTCCATCATTTGTCTCCTTTTCTGAGCAGCTATGTGACAACCCCGCTCTGTGTTATGTTGTTAATCTTTAATTATCTTTGTTATTGTGTGCTTAATGTGCTTTTAAATGCTAATCATGTGATTATATGTGTTTTTGAATCTCTATTTGTTTATTATAGAGATATCTATTCTATATTTGGCTATAATTTGAAATTGAGGGCCGTAGAGCCCTCAGAAACCAAAATTGACCGTACTATTGTGATTAACATAATTTTTAGAGCCTCCAGTGAAATTTGATTAAAAATTGATTTGGATCAAAATGATTAGATTTAATTGATTAGAATAAAGTAAAATTGATTAACCTTAATCAAGATTGATTAGTCTAAGCTAATCACCCACTATATATAGGACTAACTAGTGTTTAGGCTCATATATTTGAGCTCATCTTCAAGTCTTGGCTGAGATTATACACTAGAGAGAGAGAGAGAGAGAGAGAGAGAATTCAAGGGAGAGAAGGGGAAGTTTGAGAGATTGAACTCAAAGCTTGGAGATTAGGAAGATCAATTCAAGTTCTAGCTAAATTTGGAAGAGTTGAAGGCTCTAGGTGAGTAATTGAACCTCAAATTGTAAATTAACATCATATAAGTTGAGAATTTAAGAAGAATTGGTGACTTAGTGCAAGATATGAACTTAACATGAAGAATTTGGTATCAAATCACACATACATGCATAATTTTGTTGTCTCATGAATATGAGTATCATTTATATCATTTGAGATGAAATTAGAGACTTCATTTCACATGCATGCATAATTCATGAAGTTATGGAACTTGATGCATGAGTTTTGAAGTTATGAAAAAGAATTTGAAATGATTTGGGGCTTGCATGATGAATTCATGATGATTTGAACTTTAATCTTGTAAAATTGGCTCTCATATTCATGTTAGCAATTGTATGGCTGAAATATAGGACATAACATGCAAGTTGTATCATTTAAAATCATGTTTTGAAGCCTAAACAGCATTCTAGAGAACCCAAAATTCGACCTAACCGCTCGAGCGATAAAGTTACCGCTCGAGCGCACTTTGAAGGCATCCAGTATTTTTTTTGCAGACATTGGAGGTTGGCTCGAGCAACCAAAAGACCCTTTATTTTCAATCTTGGCTCAAGCAACCAAGAAGTTTGCTCGAGCGTAAAATGAGAGCATCCAGTACTTTTGCAGGCCAAGGGGTTTGCTCGAGCGACCTATGTTACGCTTGAGCGAAGTGCCCTGTTTCAGGAAACTTTGAAAAGTTGTTTTATGTCTCACTTTCTATTCTTTTGCATTTCTGAGCACTCTTAGGCATACATTGAGCATTTTAAATGAACTAAAGACTTAGAAAGAAGCCTAAGAAAGATAAACGAATTAAAGAACGGATTGAATTGCATTGCGACCCAATTTATGTATGTGTTGCGAATTGTGTAGGGTCAACTCTGAAGATGAATCAGCCAACTAAATACTATGAGTAATGTCTTAGTAAAGATATTTTCATGTATGTTATTTTCTAAATACTATCTATGTGGTAAGTTTTCCGAACTCATGAATTTGTATTATGAATCAATATTCTACCTGTCTGATTCGTAAAGGACTTGAAACGTGATTGATAAGCACGAAATTATAAGATTGGACCAAAGGTCATTTTGTATGAATACACAATGGGCCTAAGGCCGTTTGGTATGTTTGATGAGAATATGAAATGGGCTCAAGGCCGTTTGGTATATTTAAAGACATGGAGTGGGCCTAAGGCCGTTTAGAATATTTGACAAGATAGACCTAAAGTCATCTTACATATGACTTGGACTGAAGGTCGTTTTGTATGATTGTTAAATGGACCAAAGGTCATTTTGAACAAGGGATGGATTGGACCAAAGGTCGTTTTGAATGTGAATACGAATATGAACATGATTATGATTATAAATGCGTGCGTGAATATGAATTTGGAATGATAGACCTAAGGTCCTTTTGTACATGCGATGTGAAGGACCGGATGGTTATTTGTGCATGGATCCATTAAATATGAACATGATCTTGAATTTGAATATGCACATGAACAAGAATATGGTAATGTTGGACCCGAGGTCGTTTAGTACATTTATTATGATCAGTTATGAAAAATGTTTGGACCCAAGGTCATTTCGTCCCTTCGACATGTACTAAGTATAATGGATTGGACCCGAGGTTGTTCCATTATGAATTGTTTATGTACTTTATGAATGGGAACTGCGTTTCATATATATTAAGTACATATGTATTAAGTACAAGTATGACTTTTTTGAATACGAATCTCATTCATTAACCTCTTTACTCTAGTATTATTCACTGGCCGTTAACTCACTTTTTATCTATATGTACGTAGATGAGCAGCGAGATGTCCAGCCCCAGCTCTAGTGAACTTGTGAGAGAACCAAGTTAGTGGAGTCAACCAAGGTCGCCTCATGCATGAGGCTTTACTTTTGATTTTCTTTTTGTTTCCTTTGTCGTCATGTGTGACCAAGTTTGTATGTAACCTTGGTTTTGTCAAGACTATTTTGAATGATCCTAGACTTATGTATATATATATACTCTAAATGACTGTCAGGTGCGAGTTACTATTTACATAAGTGAAAACTTATTGTTTCATGCCATACATGCACAAGCTCATTGGACAGTCTTTGTGTTTCTACTTCCGCATTTGGCCCCCTATCATTAAATATGATTTGATTTCTATCTAAAGCCGTAGGTAATCTCATGATCACTGGCCGGCTATGATCCTAATCCATAGGGGTGGGTTTGGGTCATGACAAGCTAGCTGATATGTTCACAAAGTCTGCTGGTCCAACATTACTTCAGTCATCTATTGTCAAGCTGGGTTTGTTGAATGTCTTCGCACTAGCTTGAGGGGAAGTGTTGGAGTTAGAGTTAGAATTAGAATAAAATATACCATGATTATGCAATCACGGTATATTAGGCAACATTATTGTAATTATGATTTCTTTCCTATTTTGTACATTCTCCATCAATATAAATATATGGGTTAGTCTCTATTCTAGACAAGCCATTCAATTCATTATATTCAATTCAAACAACGCATCTACCTGGATTGTACCCTCTTGGACCTTTCTTTACAAAAATAAATAAATAAAAAGAGAATGAAAATGAAGAAAATCGATCACTAATAGACCAGTCAATAGTGGCCAATTCATGTATGGGAAATTGATAACTTTATAGAAAAGGAAAAGACATGAAAATGAAAACATCATCGTAAGTGTGTACACATGGAAGGAAGTGCAAAGTAGTCAATTTCAGAGATTAAGTTGTCTGCAGATCACAGGGATTTTCAATTGCTTTTCTGACTTGGGTATAATAGCAAGAAAGTCAGTATGACAGCGTGAAACTCCAAGGAGCATATTGACTTAAATAGGTTAGCAAAAACTGGTCACTCTTCGGACTGGAGTAACACTTAATACCAAAGACAAGATCTAAAAAATTCAAATAAAGTACTCAAGACCTAATGAAGCTGACGACAGTGGTAAACAGGTCTTTATTGCATAAACAAACAGATTGCTAGGACTTACAGGGTTGTGCATCTCTTCACTCAGCCCAAAATTGACAAGAATTGAATTGACAGACGTTGAAAATTGATGTAACAGAAAAGATACTGCTCCAACCTGACATAAAACAGGAGATAAGTTTACCAACATAAGACATTAAACAAAAATAAGAATAACTTCCTAACAACACTGCTAAAGCAAAAAAACACTTACCACTGATCCATATAAAGTGAGGTAGAAGACATTTTTCCTGCTGGTTGGTAACAATTTCATCCCCTATATCATATTTCAGCAGTCCGTTAAGATATGGTATACAGGAACAAGTGGTGAAACTAAGAAGAAACACAATTTTAATGAAATCATAGCACTTGCATACAAAACAATCACATGCTTCAATAAAAATAATAACATTAGGGTTTCATTGTCAGTTTTGAGCTACAAAACAGGCTAACATACTGGAAACAAGCATGCACTAGCACAGAAGCACCCGTACCAAAATAAAATTAGTGAACCTGAGCCCCTTTCAATTCCAACAAATCTAATGTGGGAATTGCAATTTCCACTTGCCAACACAAATTATAAGAAGATGCTTAAACATAAACAACGGATTGTTGGATTCTTATGAAGCCTCTGCACAGATGACATTCTTCTCAAGATTCTGCCAAGAACCTTTAATTAAGCTTATCATAAGAAGAGTTGGAAAGCTACGCATTAATACCAAACTGCGAAGCAATTCAAAACTGTCCATGACAAAGCTGGAGTAAATTAAATATCTGTAGAGGGATTCATGGATCTGTTTTCTCCAGTTGACTATTCAAAACCATTCCCCAGTTGACTGTCAGTGACAAGCTTTTTTCTTTTTACATCACTAATACTACTAGAATCTTGCTATTTCTATGTTTTCTCTTACGGTGGCAAACCTCTTTGCTGACAAACCCTTTAAACCTTTTTGTTTATGAGCACTTCTAATAATCATGGACCTTTATTGAACCTTAGTCTTCTTCAAAATAAAAATAATAATAAAATAAAATAAACTTTTAACCTTATTTTCCCATAGAACCTCCCACACCATGAAAACCTTTTGACCATTGTTGGTTATTAATATCATTATTTTTGTTATTTTGTGATAATTTTGTAAAACCTTGCTTGGTTGGAACTTTAATCCCTCACACCTTTCAGCACTACTTGTGGTTGTGATCCCTCTTTCCAACAAGAGCATATACAATCCCACTCTCTTCACTTTGCTCCATAAAGTCATTGGCATTGAGAAGCAAGAATCAATACCCCTTTCTAGCGCTTGTAACATCATCATCTCTCATGGGTTTTCAACGCAAATTTTTTCTTCTTATCACCGTCTTTCACGAAGAAAGAGTTGGTGTTCAAAGTACCATGCATTGTACCTTAGTCATATTGCCAAGGACGTTCAAGTAAAATATGGCATGCATCCATGGGTATCACATCACAGTAAACATCTTTAAAAGATCCCATCGATAAATTAACATGCCATTTTGAAGAAATAGTTACCTCATTCCCTTCGTTGAACCAAAGAATATGATACGGTTGCAGATGGCTATCAGTTTGAGTATTAACTCATCTACCATCTCTTGAGGAACCATACTCTCACTACTTCCACTATCAATAATCAGGCTGCGAAACTTTCTTCCTGTTATAAAGTGCATTCAAAAGATATTCTTGTGAAGCCAACCATACTTATTGTTAATAGGTGGCTGAAGCATCAGGTGTCTAATCACAAGTAATTTGGTAGCCACATTACCATCAATTCCTTCCTCCTCAACATCATTTGATTCCTTAAATTCAAGATGTTGATTCCCATCTTCAATAAAAGAGACATTTTCCTCAAATCTTGCTTCTTCATCCTCAAGATTGACACAAAAATTAGCCATTTTTGGATACTCATTTGACTTATGTGTAATTTTGAAGGATGGATAACACTTGTTAGTCATTTGGCCTTGAAATTTTTGTTGCGTTTGGACAGCCTTTTCCATTGCCAGTGTACATTTGTTAGTTTGGAGTCTAGACACATGGAAGGAGTTGTTTGCCAGCCTCAGGCAGGATTATTTACTCAACTACTTGATGCCCCACTGTTGTGACCATTACTAGGCCTTTCTAATGAACCACGAGTGAGCTGAGCTTCAACTTTTAGTGCAAGCTGATAAGTATCACTCACTTTATAAGGTCATTGCAAGCGTACTTGGTCTAGGATCACTAATTGAATACCATTTCAACTAACCCTTTTGGCTCTCAATTTCAGTAAGATTACTTCTTAACGACATTATTGAAATGCTTGAGCATCGTTTTAACTTGCAATATCGGCCACCATAACAGTCACTGTTGTAGTGTAATAGTACTGGGAGTATCAAACAATGTGTAACAAAAATGAGAAACCGAGCTCCTGAATTTTTTTTCAGGCACTAGCAAGCGCCTAAAAACTCCTTGATAAGCATGTTCTGACCTTATTTATCACAGTTTGAATGTTTGTAATAGTTTCTAATCAACATTGTAACACCTAAAACAATTATTTCTAAAAGATATAGATTTTTTTCTATTTTAAGAATAGAGCTACTATAGAAATCATTGCCAAATATCGCTCAGTATAATGTTAGTTTTAAGGCAAAAACTGGAGAATATCATCTAGTAAGGGAATTTTAATCTCTAGAAAAAGATAGAAATGCTACTAAAATAGATAATTTATAAAACTAATGAAAACATATGCCAATATGAGTTGGTACAAAGGTAATATAATAATAAAGGCAATAATAGTGGCCAATATAAGGCATGCTATAAAATACTACCATATATACCTTATTAATTCATGAGTTCACACCCACAAAGGGAATGACGTAGAGGATCTTAATAGAGTTCATGTGTTTAACAATTTTTTTAATTAATAGAATACCAGTTAAAAAGAGTGCTGCTATTAGCACTTCATAAATTATTTTGAACCCCCCAATTTTTAGCTTTTTTTTATTACAATAATTACCTCAAATAAAATTACTACAAAGGACATCATTAATTTTGAGACACCTCATCTCACAATTAAACATACACACCCATTACATCATGAATTAGGGTTTATGAGAGCACCCACCTCCATCTCCACCCATCCATCTTCCCCAAATCCCACCTTCAAAACCTACCCACCCTCAAAACCTTAAAAACCCTTTGGCGGCAATATTCCGGCGATAACAGTGGCAACCATTTGATTACCTACATTGAACGGTCAAAACATGAAAATTTCTTGACACATTGAAAAGTCAAAATTATTAACGCTTGCAGAAGTTTTCATTTTTTCAAACAAATAAGTAATGTTCGGGAATACAAGTCTGAACATGAAAATTACTTAACACATTGAACGGTTAAAATTGTTTACGCTTGTAGAAGTTTTTATTTTTACAAGTTCGGGAATACAAGCCCAAACATTACTTATTTGTTCGTGAACACATTACCGAACATAGATTGTTTGTTCGGGAATGCAGGTCCAAACATAGAAATTTGTTAACACTTTGAATAGATAAAATTCTTAACACTTGCAGAAATTTTATTTTTTCAAGTTCGGTAGTTTCAGTTTTGAAGAAGTAATGAGAGAGAGAGGGAGGGAGAGAGAGAGAGAGAGAGAGAGAGCATATCAACTGTGACAATGGTTAAACCAGCAGAGACAGTATTCTTCTTCTTCTTCTTCTTCTTCTTCTTCTTCTTCTTCTTCTTCTTCTTCTTCTTCTTCTTCGTGGGCTTTGAAAAGGATGAGACTCTCCTTCTTCTTAGTGGGTTTTGTTAGGATTTTTTGGAAGGGAGGTTTTTTTGGGGGTATGGGGTGTGGGGGGTGTGCATTCAATGGGTGGAATGTTTAAGGATAATTTTGGTATTATTTGGAAGGTGGGGGGAGAAAGAAATTTTAAGGGTTTCAAAATTTATAAGTGGGGATCTAAAGAAATAGGAGGCCCAAAATAATTCAGAGGGTGCTAACAGCACCACCCTTTAAAAATTCGTAGTCTTGATTTTAGTAAGATAGATTAAGGAAACTAGGATTGACAATTAAAGAACATGAATATGAAGAATTAACAAACATAAAATATAAAAGAACTTAAAAATATTAGAGTAATGTTTAAGAAAGATTCATAATATTAGAGTTACGGTTTAAGAAAGATTCGAATATTTTGACTTAGAGTTTAACTTTTAAATATTACCTTTAATAGATAACAAAGATAAAAAGGAATATATATTAACGTAATAATGTTAAAAGGGAAATTGAAACGAAATTTTAAAATATATAAAACATAAAATATTTTTAAAAATAGTGGTTGGAAGTGTCATAATGGTGATCCTCCAATTGTTGAGGCCTTTCATCACTAGAACTATCACTTTCTCCTCCCATTGCCAGAACTATCAAAGTGATTCTCACCTTCAAACTTTGAGATACGAACATGCACCATACTTTGGAATTTATTAGAGCATGTACAAAGTTATCCTCCCATTTAAGGCCTTTTATGGCTAGAGCCTATGAACCATGGGTACCCAAAAATTATGTCATGCAAGTGCCGAGTACGTATCCAATATAGGTACACATACCAGTACGAATGCACGTGAACTAGGTACACGAAATGCGCATCTATCACTTCTTTAAAAAAAAATTAAATGGTAGGTATGGCCTAGGTATGGCATGGATACTTTTCTGGGTTCATCGAGGCATAACGAGCCACAAATCTTGTTTTTTTTTTTTAAGGGTGAATTATACTAACAGTCCATATAGTTTGGGACTCATGTCACTTTAATCCCTAACTTTTCAATTGTGACACATTTGACCCTAAATTTTGAATTTTGTTCCAAATAAGGACAATTGAAAATACCATTGCTCAATTTTAAAGACAAAGTCGTCAATTTGATAAAATATAACTAATTTGACAAAAATAAATGTCAAAAAAATATTTTTGAATTTTTAAAAATTATTTCTACCCACCAAAGATAAAATTATGTAAAATTAATAAATTTTTTACACATTTATTTATTTATTTATTTTACCAAATTAATTTTTATTATGTGTTTGGATGATGATCATGTAATAGGTGGTTGTTAAGCTTTTAATATGTAATCGATATATTTAATATATGAAATGTTTTTAGTTTTAGATTTTTTGATTTAATGTATTGGTTTAATAATGACATTAAAGTTGTCGCCATATTTGACTTTTGGAAAAATAAAAACTAATTTAATGAATATAAAAACAATCATCCATTACATGATCATCATCCAACCACATA